TGGCCACCTGGGCACACTGCTGGCCACACCACTGCCAGACAAGCAGCAGGGAGTGAAGCTGCAGCTGTGGAGGAGCTTCCCCACTCACCACGTCCTCGATGGAGCTCTGGTCCTCCTGGAGGGGATCTTCAGCCAGCAGGGAAAGCACCAGCCCCTTGATGCAGTGAACATACAGGCTCATCTTCACCAGGCTGCTCTGGGTGCCTGGCTCCACACCAGTCTGGGCTCCCAGCCCATCCAGCTGAGGTGGGCAGCCCCTCTCCCTGCTGCCAGGCCAGTGTGTGTCCCCTGCTGGGTCACTGGGCAGCTCCTCCTGAGCCTCAGCACCTGCCTGATGGCTCCTGCTCTGCAGCTCTGCAGCCCCTGGGCCATCCAAACCCCACAGGGTGCCACCAGCTGCACTGCTGCTTCCTCCAGAGCCCCTGTTCTGCCCCAGAGCCCCAGGCTCATCTCCTTCACTTGCCTTCCTTCTGCCCAGCTCTTGGGCAGGGGAGGAGGCAGCTGGACTGCCAGGGGCTGCCTGGCTCTGGGGACTGAGCTGCTCCACTGCAGAGTCCACGAGGCATTTCCTCTCACTGGGACTGTCCTGCTCCTCCACATAAGGGTTTGGAAAGAGAAAGCCTCCCAGACAGGGAGCTCCAGGCTCAGCAGCTTCAGCAGCACGGGGCCTGGCAGGGCTCTGCAGCTGCTCCACGTCTCTCTCTGCTGGGAAAGGAGTTAGATGGCCCAGCTCTGAGCCTCTGCCCCCTGCACTGCTCTGCTCTGCAGCATTCTGTGCCCTGGCTCCTGCCTGAGGGGAGCCCCTGGAAGGGCTGGTGTGTGCAGGGCTGCCTGGTGGCACAGCATCTTCTGCTGCAGCTGGGCTGGAGGCTGGCTCAGGGGACGCCTGCACAGGGATATTGCTCAGCTCTCCTCTTGATCCTGAAGCTGCCTGAGAGCAGAGAGCATCCTTCTCTTCCTTCTTCTCTCCCCCAGGGCTTGCTGGGGACACAGACGACCTAGTGAGAGATGACAAGTTGATTAAACTGCTGAGCAGAGCTCCTCTGGAGTTATTACATCCCTCCTAACACCATCACCTCCTGGTAGCATCTGATGGCTGAGCTACCTTCTGAGCACCTGCCTCAGGAAAGGCTGGGCTAGGGTCTGCCAGAGGTGACACACGTGCCCCCCAAACTGGGGATGCCCCTTCCTTACAAAGCACAAGGGCAGCCCTGTGAGCTGAGGGGCAACAGAACCTTGGGGCTGGTTTTGGGGAAGGACTCTGCTTGAAGCTGCTTCACCACGGAGAGGGGGACACCCCAAATTCAGCCCAGCCTGCAGGATCTCAGAGGAAATGGTGCCAGGGGCCAGCCAGGAGCCAGCACCACAGGACTGCTCCCTCCTCAGGTGTCAGACTCATTTCCTACCTGGTCCTCCACTCCAGGGGGAAGTCTTGGAGCACTGAGACTTCAGCTTCTGTCAGGAACACGGGGAGGACACGGACACCCTGGGGCCACGGGGAACCTGCAGGAGCAAGGGAGGCTGAGGGTTCCCTGGACACACTCTGGGATCCAAAGCAGAGGTTGGGGGTTCACTGGACACACTCTGGGATCCAAAGCAGAGGCCAGGCCACCCAGCCAAGGGCTGCTGCAGAAGAAGGCAGCATGCTGCCATCCTGGGTCACCACAAACTGACCACGCCTGACTTGGCAGCACTTTCCCAGGCTCCTCAGGCATTTAATGCCTTGACAGAGTTAAATTTTCCCCTAGTATTTGTTTTTTCCCCCTCACCATCCCAGCAGAAGGTTTATAAACTGATGCTCAAAACTGACAACTGAAGGTTTGGGCTGAAAGCATCAGGCATCTGTTCCCAGGGCTCTGTCTGGGGCCAGGAGGCCCACGGGGAGCTGGAAGGGAAGCAGCCACCTTGGGAACCTGCAGAACCAACAGTGAAACCCAAAAAGAGCAAGATCCTTCACTCAGCCTGAGGAAGGAGCCAGCTCTGACTGCACAGCACCCACGGGGACACCCTGGGGGGGCAGCTCCTGCTCCCAGCTCTGGTGTGGGCCCCAGAGGAGCAGCTCAGCCCTGGCTGCAGGGGCACCCCCAGGAGGTTCCCACTTGGCAACCAGAGCCCTGCAGCTGGGTGCTCACCAGGCTCCTGCTGCTCCTCACCTCCAGGCTCCCCCTGAAAGAAAAGCCAAGAATCAGCTCTGGGTGCCACCAGGACAGATCTTCAGCCCCCCCAGTCCCTCTGTGACCACAGCAGACCCCAGCCCACCAGCTCCAGCAAACTCTGGGACTGGCTCACTGTGCTGGGTGGTGATTTGTTCCCTGGGGAGCCCTCAGAGCCAGGAGGGGATGCCCTACGCCTACTGCAGCTGAAAGCAAGGACAAATACCACAATCTGCTGCTACTGCCTGCTCGGGGCAGAGAAACTTGGTTCTCTCACCCAGAGGAGGAGCAGGGGCCTTCTTCAGGTCTGGATCTTGATGGCTTTTTTGTAGGTCTCAAACCATGTAAATAATGGCTTTTGACAGGTTTTAATGGCAACAGAAATTATCTACTTGTCACTTTCAGCCATTTATTTTGTATATTTAGCACTAAATACCTAAACACAGGTAAAATGCCAATCAAAACATCACATAGAGGAGGACTCATGAATCCAGCAACTTAAAGACAAAACAAAAAAAGCAGCAAATTCCTAGTGCAGAAGTCCTGAAACCTCCCTCAAGCAGAGCTAAAAGCTCTCAGCATCAGGATCATTGCCTGTCCTCCCCAGCAGTGGCACACGTGAGGCCCCAGGGCCCATCCTGGGTGGGTACCTGGGTGCAGGGAACGTGTCTGGCAACATACCTGGTCTGGAGACTCATCTCCTTGGAGGAGAACTTTGGCAGTGAGAGGAGGAGGCAGCTGGGTGCTCACAATCCTAGAGGGACAAACCAGAGTCACCCAGGAGCAGTGTCCCCTCCCAAAACTCAGCCATGGGCTCCCAGCAGCACCCACACCAGGGTCACTTGTGCTCAGGGCAAAGGTGCTGCAGGGCCCAGCACCCAGCAGGGTGACTCTGGGGGTCCCCTGCTCACACTGTCAGCAGCAGAGGGCACACAGGCCAGGCCTTCCCATCCCACTGGGCAGGGTCCAGCAGGGGTGTGGGGCAGCTAACAACTGCAGGAGTAAATAGATCCACACTCAGAACATGACAGAGCAAGGGAAGGAATGAGCTGAGTCACCAGCCAGGTCGTGGGAGGAGGAAGAAGCCAGGTCACGAGTCCAATCCCAGCCACAACTGCCAAGAAGCAGCATCCTTACATAAATCACCCTCTTTCTGTGCTGGCTGTGATGTCATCCCACCATCTCTGGGAAGAGACAGCCAGGGAGCCCTTCCAAGAACTGGAAACCCTGCTCAGTGCACCCACTACACACCCAAGCTCCCCCCAGTCACCCCCAGCAGAGCCAGCCCCTTGCCCTGTTACTCTGGAGGCAGCAGACCTGGTGCCAGTTCTAGCCCCTCCACTTCTCCCACTGCCAAACACACACAACCCTGTGCTCCTGCTCTGCCTCTGGGAGGGGGTTTAACCCTCCAGGTACCCCCTGGTTACTCACAGGCCCCTGTAGAGAATGCAGCCTGCCAGGACGTGAGGGGAGCGCTGGCACGTCTGCAGGATGAGAGCTGCTTTCAGGAGGAGCAGAGGGTCCACCTGGGCAGGGAGAAGGACAAGAAATTAGGCCAGAGACTCCTGGGAAAAGCTCAAAGCAGCAAATAAACCACCCACCTAAGGCAGCTCTAGAGGGGGGCTCTGCTGGGGACAGGCTTTTTACCTTGGTTTTGTCCAGATTCCAGAGAGAATTGAAGACCCTGTGGAGGTCAGTGGTGTTCCTCTGGGTGTGTTCAATGTACCTGTCCCACTGCCTGCTCAGCTCCTCTGCAGAACAGGCCTGGGGACAACACAGACCCCCCTGGCTGTCACTGCACAGGCCCCAGTGCACCCAGGGGGACACAGGACACTGACAGGGGACAGTGCCCGTGAGAGATGAACCTCCTGGGGACAGGGGGGGAGATGGCACCCGG